TCTCTTGTAAAAGGTGGGATTCCTGAAAGGGAAATCCAGAGCTGTGGTTCCTGTTGTAAGCGCTCTTTATACACCTTATTCATGGCTTTTAATTAAAAAAAAAAAAAAAAATCCACCAAAAATCATTGGAGCAAGATCCAGAAAAAACATTTCAATTTTTTAGGTAAGTTCCCATCCCACTCTGCTGAAGAGTTAGATCATGCCTACATGCAGGTTCCTGGCCCCTACCATTTATACTGGCCAAAGTAGGCTGTTATGCTTAGACAGCACAGCAAATTGTTTTTCAAAAATGGAAACACACACTGATTTTTAGATTTCCTTGAGATGTTAGATGGCGTGTAAGTAATCTGAATTGTTCTCTGAGACTTGTGAGCAGCAGCCTTCTAAGTCGAGCCTTAGGCAGGAATTGGGGCATGTGAATTACTGCTATAGCCCAGACCAGGAGTGCACTTTTGAAGTGACTCTCCCACTCACCCCCACTTACTGCACTTTGGCTAATGTTGCAGAGCACTCCTGGAGTGCACGAACCAGTTCCTTCCCGGTGTCGCAAACCTGGATTACATGCTCCAGGACAACAGGTAAGGCTCTGCAACTGCGCTTGGGCATTCAGGCCTTGAAGACCTAGTGTAAATCAGAGTTCAAAGAAATAACACCATTTTACATCATTGAGCAATGACTTTTAGAAAGGTAGAGTGTGAATCAAATGTTCTCTGAAACATAATAAGATTTCAAAAATAAATTAGTCGCTAGAGGGAGCCTCTTAATCATCACATCCTAGTATCAAACCGTCACTAACTTGGGCCTTCAACTCTTAGATGTTGAACTACTCTAATAGGGTCAGTGAGTGCTACTTCCTCCAGTACTCACTTAAAGTATATGAGGGTAAAAGACAAGAGTATGCAAGGGTTCTGCAAAATTCCACATTCATTCCACATTCTGAACAAATACAGACTTTATAAAGATTCACCCATAGAAAAACAGGTAGAGCCAGTTAGTGCAGTGGCTGGGAACAGAATAAGCTTTGCCTAGACCTTTTAAAAATGCCATCTTTACATGGCATCAGTGAGAGGGCATTCACCTTTCTCTCCTTCAAAGATCAAACACCAAAATAAGCACAAGCTGTCACTGTGAGAGGAAAGTCTTTAGACCACAAGCACTACCTTGCCTCCTTTATCTTCATTATACCATAGCTGTGCCCAGGCGGTAATTCCCAGCAGCCAGATTTCAACGAGTGCTACTTACAGCAGTGATCTGGTCTAGCTCTCTCTGTGTTAGAAGGCAGCTACGTACAAAACAACAAAGACGTGTTCCTGCAATGTAACTGCAGACATGCCTTCAATTTTCTGCTATACTTTAAATTTAGTAAATAACATAGCAGTTATAGTTTGTGGTTCTCCATTACAAATACTACAGAATTTGCAGGAAGTCCTGGAAAAACACAAGGAGAATAGGAGAGCTGTGGAGGAGACCCCAGCTGCGAGAGGGGCTCTCCCAGTCAGCAGGGCCTGACTGGGATTGATTACAACCTGGACAGAAAAAAACCAGCACCTCAGAAGGTGCTTTCTTTTTAGAAAATGTACAGCAGCAGAGGGCATCAGACAACAAGAAATCCTATATACGTTAATGAATCCTGAAGCGCTAAAGGCACAGTGAAGGGGAACGGTAACTGGAAAGGTACAGATTGAGATGCTATAACATGGGTGGGGATAAGGAAGCAGGCCCTAAGACAAGGAAAACCAGACACATCACTTCTCCTGTGTGTGTTGGCTGTAACCACTCAAGCATGGAAATGTTGGGGTGAGAGAAAGCAGGGGAGGGATCACCTATGGTGCTCTAACTGGCCTCAGAGGTGCTGCACTAGCAAACCAACCTCAGCACTGCACCTGGTGATGAACCACCGACTCATAACAATGTCTCCCTTCTCTTTTAAGATATGAAAACACAGCAAATTCTGACACTAAAGCAAGATTGCTGTTTGATAGTATCTTATGCTCTCCTAAAATTCTCAGTACAACAGGACTCAAACAAAAAAAATCAAGAAAGAAAGCATTAGCCAGCACGTAACCTTAATTTGTCTCTTTGAGTGATGACTAAGAAACAGGCAGCACTCAGAAGTGAAGCCGAATGACTCATTTTCTGCAAAAACAAATTCAGGTCTCTTGCCGGCATTTCCTCCCCACACCCTAAAACTGTTTCTCTCTGCGTGTGCAGAGATGATATTGTCATTGCTGCAGGCACTCGGGGCTGCCATAAAGCGAAGATATTCACTCAATTTCTGTTTCTACAGACAAAGAATTGCTGCTTCATAGGTACAGCAATTTTCTGTTTTCCTTGGTGGAAACGAGGAGAGGTTTATGGGGAACTGTTATTTATAGTGCCTTTCACTGGAGTGTCTCAGACTTGAAGGAAGTTCTTCCCTTCCCTTGAGAAACTGCTGCTTGGATAGAAAGCATTTTAGCTACATTTCTGGTGTTCCCCAGCCCGACCCTCATCCGTGTATGAATGCCATCATTGTGCAAACAGCAGTGGGACGTGCAGCTTAAGGGACTCCGGGATAAGTTCGACCATGCAGCCGCTTGCAAGCTCCGGTATAACATGGCTTTCCTGTGGCAAAGCGCGCATGAGCAGCTAGGGCAGATTTAAGGACTGCCTTCAGAAACAGATGTTAGATGCTGTGGTGTAGCAGCAGTCATTGTGCTGAAAAATTTGGAATGGTTTTAAGTCGACTGAAAATAAGCTCACGCTCCAGTCTATCAGCTGCCTGCTTTGAGCATAACTTGACCAGGTACTGTATTCCTCCCTTACTATGTTGGGAAATGCGTAGGAAAATTTTAATGGGCATTTGGAATTTTTTTTTTTTGCGTCTGTAGATAAAAATATCCGGAGGAAGTTTTTAAAAGGCATTTCCCTTTACAACAACATTATTCTCATACATGCCTGTGTACCAGGTGAGAGCAGTCAGCTGCAGGCAACTTGTTATCATGTGTCTGGCTTTTATTGTATCTATATCAAGACTACAAAATAGGAATTTTTAGAAGGCATTTTCACAGACTGAACAGTACCAATTTGAATGGAATTACCTGCAAGACCTTTCCCTGAGTGTTGCGAAACTGATGCCACAAATGGGTACTGTTTTTACGAAATATGTATCTGAGTGTATCTAAAATGAATATTTTCTCATATGCAAACTGGCTTGAATTGGGATTTCAGTATCTTGCGAGTATTTTGATAGGCAAGTAAAGACAGCTCACAAAAGTTCAATCAGTAAAGGAAAACAGTTAGTAAAATATGAAATATACACAAGCTATACCCCCCTGGATTATTAAAACGGGTGAAGAAAGGGATAAAAACTAAATTACTCTGGGGGGGTTAAATAATGGGAGAGGGATAAAGCTGAATTCAATTCAGGTAGCAAAGTGAACAGTCTGCTTGCAGCATGGCTTAAGTGCCACTTTGGCAAAAGTGGTCCCAAAGAGATCCCCAAAAAGGCATCCTCCAAACCGCTGGTGGCTGAATCAGGTGGGTGCTTGCTGTTGCCCCAGCTGCCGGGGGCTGAGCAAGGAGCTGCACTGCAGCGCGGGGACCTGGGCCCCCGGCCCCCTCAGAAAGGGGAGGAACAGGGCAAGCTGCTTTCACTGTCCCTCTTGTTCCCATCCGAGCTGCTAAAATTTCCCTGGCCAGGCTCCCACCACCTCTCACTAAGGAAATGGCTTCACAGGGATAATATCAGTCAGTGCAGTAACTGTTTTCTGTATATTGCCTGCTAGTTCACAGGCAGCTTCTGAGGAAACTCAGCCTTGAGCTCCAGCCTGTGCTTTGAATCAGTGTCTCTCTACTGTGAAGTACAGGCAGTTAGTGACAGCTAATTACACAATTACATTTGAGTATTTCCAACACCCATTTATTTCAGCTGTTCTGGAGGCAGATAGTATGTATATGTAAAAGATGTCTGAGGTGTCCTCCAGTATCTTTTATATACCAAATTAGGGCACAGCAAAGGCACAAATCCAACTGCAGGAAGCTAAGTCTGAGTGTCTGTAGATAGCAATGCTCCATCAGCATTGGTGCTTGTAAATAAATGTCTGGAGCTGTTTGGATGCCAATTTCCTAAGCACAGAAGTTTAAGTTTTCCCATTGAGGCCTGTAGTGTTGATGAATAAAATGTAAGAACTATGGATATTAGCTAAGCTGCTAAATACTATCATTTCTGGAAAACAAAATGTGAAACCAACATAATTTATAAAATGGAGATGCTTGGTATAGTTCAACCAGACATGGGATAAATTTGAAAGCAGTCTGTTTTAAAGCCTTTGAACCAAGGTCATCTGGCCCTTACTTCAAAGCCTTTAAACAGTTTGTCTTGTCCTGGCAGTGAAAGAGAAAGCCCCAGTGGAACCTTTGCAGAAAGATGTGCAGAGAGGGGGAAAAGAGCATCACACCCTGAAATCTGACACATACAAAGGCGGCAAAGGCTCAGCTCAGAGTCAAACACCAGGAGGTCACAAATTCAGTGTCTTCTAAGGAAGAGGATGACTAAAATTTCTACAACTAAAGATATTTCTTACAAGCCTGAAAGGAAACTTGGCACATTATGTGAAGAAGCAGCAGGCTGCTACCGTCTCTGTGATTACAGAAAAATAAATGATCTTGAGGACTGGATTTTAAAAAGCTCTTCTCTTCCTTTCTGAACAGTAAGTATTTTTCATATAGCTGAGTCACGTAACAAAAGAAAATTATTTTGCTATTTTAAGATAAACTTCTCTACACAAAAAGAAAATTTCGTCTAAGAATTGAAGAAGTGCTAGGAATAAAAATAACATCAATGCCTTTACTCTTCTTCATTTAGGGTCTGATCTGAGGTGTAAATAAAACAGAGAGAACATTGATAGGCTTAGATTAAGTTTTTTATATATTTTTATTGCAGTGATTACTAGAGAGATGCAAACATGACAAGGCGCTCTCTCTTGGTTTTGCAGGATCTGAACACTCCAAATGCAGAAATGATTTGGCAACTAACATCTTATTGGTAAGAAAAAAGTTCATTAATTATTGTTATATCAGATCTAAAGTGAGTGAAGTTTCATAATGACATAATACTGTATTATAAAAGAGTAGGGTTGTTTATCTATAAAACATACTCACAATGTGATTTGTTTGTTTGTTTTTCTTGTTCTTAACTTTTTCATGACACAAAGGTCCTAGTCTGGGCGAGACGGATGTCAGAGGAAGTTGATCCCATTCTCAGCTTCCCAGATCAACTTCTAAAAAACATCCCGAGCCACTAAAGCAAAATAACTTGCACGTCATCTGTCACATGTAAATTCCCAAGATAGGAAGTTTGGAAACAATCAGAAAAGGAGATTTTAAAATTACGGTCCTGACATATTCCTTTTCACGACATCTGTTTGGGTCAATGATCAAAATTTAATACACCCTCTGCATCTGGGCAGAGAGTGGCGTGGTCTGCAGTCAAGCTCTCACAGGAGGGTCTTCAGCCACGTGGGGCAGGAGTGATGAATGGCCAGGTGTGGAGGACTGCTAGTGCAAATCAACGAGATGTCTCAAACAGCCTTGGTGCTCAATGGCTGCTAAAAACACAATGTAGAGCGACGGTCACTAGGAGCCAGGACCGGACAGTAACAGGACTAGGGGTGAGGGAGGGAGTCCTGCGAAGGTGGGAGGGCCTTGCCTCGGCCCCATCCCCTGCAGTCTGCGAAGCCTCCTATTCCCCCACACACATACGGCCTGGGGGAGGGTCCTGGTATCACTTCTCTTGGTTTGACTAGTCGCCCCTCTTAATTTGACTGGTATCTCTACCGCTTCTGGAACTGGGATGTCGATGCTTGACTGCTCCCTGATTTTTTGAGAAGTTGAAGGAGTACAAGGCATGCCCTACTCCACCTGGAATAGCTTGGGCTCATGATAATTGGCATGACCCTGAGACAGTGGTGAATCGTATAGTCACCCTTGCAAAACAGAAGGAGCGGCAAGCGGGTAAAGGAAAAGCTCTGGTGTGTGCTATATTAGGAGCTGCACTGACAGCGGCACAAAAGGAAAGGCATTTGGCAAGGCAGGCGGAAGGAGAAACAATTAGGTCTTTGCAGAACCAATTAACAATGGAACGTGAGAAAAATAAGAGTCCACAAAAACAGCTAACTGTGGAGCGCAACACCAGCCAGCAGGCTCACACGGCTCTAGCGGACGCATTGGACCGAGAGAAAATCTTCTTGTCTGAATTAGAATAATACGAGTGGGGGGTTTACGATCGAACAGATCATGACTCAATTCCGGTTAGCAAACCAGGATTTTTGAGTTTGACAAACTTAGCCAAAAAGCCAGCATCCAACTTAAGACCTCTATACCCACGCAAGGAATTAGGAACTAGTCAAGAAATCTTTTACCCCGAAACTGAAAAGGAGCAGGCAATTGTGAGACCATTAATTAAAACGGAGACCACCGAAGGCCAAGGTGGAGGAGCTTCGCAAATCACCACGCGGATGGTGCTGTATTTGGCAACTGAACTAACAAAAATCCAGGAAAAATATACTAGGAGGGCTCAAGAATCTGAGACTGAGTATGTATGGAGGGTCTCATTGACCAGCGGAGACCAAGTTTTACTATCAGATGAGGCGCAGCAATACTGGGGTCCCGGTGTATTTTTAACCACTGATGATCAAAGAGAGCCGTGGTTGTTAACCCAACGAGCTGCGTGTTGGGCAGGAGACTTACACCCTCTGGAAAGAGGAGACCTGGTGTGTATTGAGACCCCCAATACAAATCATTTAACTGAAAGTTTACAAAATGTTGCCTGCCTCCAGTTGCTGCACGACAGGCGTTTAGTCTCTCAACAGCTTCCCCTGATGTTGCTAAATGCACACCCTGACAGAATGACTCCCCTGATCCGGGGTCTTCCAGACTCACTGAAACTGTATGTGGTACAGCTGCAAGACTGTCTAAGGGACACGTTAGCCCCGAGGGGAGGGGGGAGGTGGAACCAACGAGGAGGGGCCATGACTTGGGGGGAGGTAGCCCAGGAACTGAAAAATTATGGTAGGAGAACGGGTCTCACTGCGGGGCTATAAAATCAAGAACTGCTATACGGAGAGTGGAACAGTGGGAAAATCGACCACCCCCTCGGGCCTCAGAGGCAAGGAGAAACCTATTGTGGGCAGAGGGAATCAAAAAGGGGATTCCCTGGGAGTTAATGGATGGTATGCCTACTATAGCCTTAGAGAAGCTCGTGCAAGCGTGGAAAGACAAACAGAAAGTACCCCTCCAAATTGACCAGCCCACTCAAGAGAGTATGAGGGCGGAGCCCCGACCTGATGACATTGCGGGAGTTGCCTCCAAGGCACCTTACGCCCCTGAAAAGGATTTGATTGATTTGGGGATGGGAAACTGGATGGGCCGTCCCCAGTAAGTGAGCCGGGGGACGGCCAGAGGGTCCATTTGAGAAGGCTCACGGAAGATAACAAAGGGGACTTGTTAATCACTTTCCCCATCACTTCTCTTGGCTTGACTGGTCGCCCCTCTTAATTCAACTGGTATCTCTACCGTTCCTCGAACTGGGACGAGAGAAGGTTCCAGAGATCCAGAGACTGAAATCTATAAATAGGGACGGACTCCCTCTCTCTCTCCCCTCCCTGTCCCTCTCTCCACAGAATACCCGCGTTGGCAGGTCCAACGCTGGATCCAGGACCAGTGATTCTCTTCTTCTTTCCCCTTTCTCTCTCTCTCCCCCTCTCTCTCTTTCACTTCTCCTAGGGTTATAAAGTTGTTAAAGTTGTTAAATTATAGTTAAGTACAGCACAGCCTACCTCGATTTTCCGTAAAGCCACATAGCTTAGCTGCATACCTCGGTTAGATATAATTGTGAGAGGGCTGGCAGGTATCAAATATTCATACTCAATATTTGTTTCTATAGAAGCTTTCCATTAAAGTTGGTGTTTGTGTACAGACCTTGAGTGTTGGCTCACCTTAATCCACCCCAAGAGGATTTGCGAATCTTAGTCACTCCCCCTCTTACCCCAGGTGGGACGTGACGCCGGGTCATTGGCTTCTTTCCTTCTTCTGTGTTTCAGGACATCCCTGGTTGCACCCCTGATTCTTAGTCTGCTTCTGCAGCCACTGCTGGCACAGCTTTCCACCGTCACACAGCCAAACATTGTCCTGTTGATGGCTGACGACCTCGGCATAGGGGATGTAGGTTGCTATGGGAATGATACTATTAGGTAAGGAAACTGAGCATAACAGTGAACAGAGCTGGTGCATTATTTAATGTAAGACTGCAATCCTCTACCCATCATCAGCTATTCGAGCTCTCTTCAAGTTCATTGCCTGCAGAAATGGCAGGATTTCCCATGGGTGCCATTAACAGTAAATGTAAAGCACTACCAGGATTCTCTCACAGCCTACAGGGCATTCCCAGGGCCAGCTCTGCTATTCCAAGCTGCTTTACTGTGGGAATATGTCAACCGTTCTTGTGTATTCCTTAAGTGCCTGACATTGAGAAGCGCTAAGCACTTACACATACCTGAAGATAGAAATGTTGTCCCATCTTTCAACATATCAGGCCTCATTATCTCATTTAACTCTGTTTTGCCATTCTTTCCCAGTTTCATACCAAAATGCAGTATAAATCACTGCAATGAGCTATGCTGCTTAGAAATACTTCTCTTTTCAGACCCAAGGACATAGAATTTGCCTTCTTTTTGAAAACTGTGCCATGGTATTGCCTGCTGGCTTCCTACCAGCTTGTCACTTCTTTGAACAAAATCAAATTTGGTATGATTGCTTCCCTCATCCAGCAAAGTTCTCAGAATCTCACCCTGATCAGCACCAGCTGGCAAGTTTATAATAGGTAGCTGACAATTGTAGGTAGCTGATGGGGCTCTGCATGGCTGGGCCTCCACTTCAGCATAGCATCATCCCCAAGGCATGAATCTTCTTTTCAAGAGCAGTGGGGTACAATTCTGCAAGGCCCTTCAGAGGACTTGGGAAACAAGCAGGAATTGATTGGCTTGAAATTTATCCAGATAGCAATTACTAATGAAGCAAGAAAAAAAAAGCATTTCCCCATAACTTCAGAAAATTAAAATAAAATTAAAAAAAAAATAATTCCTGGCCATCTTCAAATAGAAGAAACTTCCCAAAATAAAGATAAGTATATTATTCCTCATCCCCATTCCCTTGAAGAGCCTCTGAGTGATATCTGACAGTGTTGATTGCATTTTTAGGACCCCAAACATTGATCGCCTGGCAAAGGAAGGAGTGAAACTGACCCAACACATCACTGCAGCTCCCCTTTGCACCCCCAGCAGAGCAGCTTTCCTCACTGGCAGATATCCCCTCCGATCAGGTTTGTCTTGCAAAACCAAGAAGCCTTTAAACATTGCTTTATTGATGAAGGGAACAACGTCATACAATGGGCACAAAAGAAATGAAGGTGTGCAAATAGAAGGGGTGCCACAGACATGTCATCCCTCACTGAGGCACACAAAGACACAGCAGCTAAGTCTAGTACCTTTGAGGTGGCATCTAGATTTATGGGGTACAATGAACTGCCCTGGGGCAGAAAAGAACCAGCTCTGCAGAGCAGCTTGCTCCCCCCCAGCTCACGACTTCCGTTGCATTTTGGTGCTCTACTGTACAGATTGCAGCCAGAATGGATTTAGTACAAATTGTTACATTCAAAAAAGTCATTACACAGAACATGAATAATAATAACACATTTCTAAAGCACCAGCTACATTAATTTCTGTCATGGGTGACTCCTTATCAGATATCAGAAACAACTCAGCCCTGCAGAGAGCAGAGGAGATCTATGCAGATGTGTGTCCATTCCCTCTAGTCAAGGTGCAGAACGAGTCGTTTACAGGAAAGCTTTGTTACCTATGTGTCAGAATTAATCCGCCCTATAAAATAACAGTTTGACAGCTATGTTATTTTCCCCAGTTCTGTTTCTGAAGAAAAAATACTATCCTGTCAAATTGCATCGCTGAGATGAAGAGGTATGAAAAACAAATAGCTCTACATGTTTCTAACAGCGACTCTCTAATGCTTGTTCTGCTGCAAATGATCTTCAGGGCCTTCATTCCTGAGGCATTCTGAAGCTGACATGTTGTCCTGCTTTTATCATGACAGCTACCACTGAGATAGATAGCTTGAAAACGCACGTGAGCGTGTACAGACTCTCCCACTATAACTACAGGGCCAGACACGTTCAACGCTTCCATGACAGATTGTACGTCAAGTTATGTTGTATGATGAGGTTACGCCACTATATAATGCTAAATAACAGAGTGTAAACCTGCAGGTGAGGAGAAGATTATGGTGCTAGATAGCTACTCTGTGGGTTTCAGATGTTGGATGACAGCCATGCCACCGTGCAGGGAAATCTTGAGTTCCCAGGCAGCTTTATGCAAGCTGGAGTTTGAGGCTGTCAGTGGGCTGAAGTTTCGCTACCCTCCTCCCCACCCTCACACTCACACTAAGTAAGTGCACTTCATACAGCCTGGATGCCACTGTGACATATAAAAGCTCCTATGCAACTGTGCCATTCAAAATAAAATAAAATACAATAAAATAATCTCATTATGAAAGACAAAGAAGAATAGGTATTACACAATGGAGAGACTTAACTCTTTCTTATTCTTGTCCAGTGTCCTAGATTAATTTCCCCAAACAAACAGTATTAGGATAAACATTTAACACTATAATACCAATGAAACCAGGAAAAAAGGAACTGTATTTGATAAAAGTACTCTACCAGTTATATTTACTAAGATTATTTATTATTGTATTTTGTAGGGATGGATGCTATAAACAATTACCGTGTTATTTTTTGGAATGCTGGCTCAGGAGGGCTTCCTCCAAATGAAACCACTTTTGCCAAAATACTGCAGCAGCAAGGCTACAGCACAGGACTGATAGGTATGGGGACACTCCTGAAGATGGCCTAGAATGTGTTTCACCTGCACATCTCACTCAAACCATTTGTTTTAGTTAGCAACTGCTCAACCCTCAGTTGTAACATTTTTATTTCCTGATTTAAGAATATCTTGTAAGAAGAAATCTTGACCAAAAAGAATCTCTCTTAAAAGAACAAGCATCTGATAAAAAGAATAGTCTTTACTGTTGGCCTTCTTTCAAGCACAGCTGTGGTTGTTTATAACGGAAAATACATTAATATTTCTTGAATATTATTCTATCAAGTATATGATAATTTTTCCAATGCTATTGGAAAAGGAAACAGCTGCTACTTAAAACAACAGAACCAGTTTATAATATCACAGGATTTGGCCTTTCAAAAACAGAAACAAAGCAATTATTTCTTCTTTAGTTGCACCTTGCCACTATAGTTCACCAAGATTTGAGTACAGCCCACAAAACATTACCTCCTTCAGTATTAATAAGAATTCCATTTTACTTTACATTCTACAGAACTTTTTTTTTTTGTAATACAGTTGTAACTTTTGGTCATGATCCAGCTGCACATAATTAATCTTAATTAATTAATTATATAATTAATAAATCTTCACAATGACATAGCAGGATTGAGTGCACCCTCAGCAAGTTTGCAGATGACACCAGGCTGAGCAGTGCAGTCGACACGCCTGAGGGACGGGATGCCATCCAGAGGGACCTGAGCAAGCCTGAGAAGCAGGCCTGTGTGAACCTCATGAGCAAGGTCCTGCACCTGGGTTGGGGCAATCCACAATGAGGGGATGAAGGGGTTGAGAGCAGCCCTGAGGAGAAGGACTTGGGGATACTGATAGACGAAAAGCTGGGCATGAGCCAGCCATGTGCTCTCGCAGCCCAGAAAGCCAACCATATCCTCGGCTGCACCAAAAGCAGCGTGGCCAGCAGGTCGAGGGAGGTGATTCTGCCCCTCTACTCTGCTCTGGTGAGACCCCACCTGGAGTGCTGCATCCAGCCCTGCGGTCCTCAGCACAGGAAGGACATGGACCTGTTGGAGAGGGTCCAGAGGGGGGCCACAAAAATGATCAGAGGGCTGGAACACCTCTCCTCTGAATAAGGGCTGAAAGAACTGGTGTTGTTCAGCCTAGAGAAGAGAAGGCTCCAGGCAGACCTTATTGCAGCCTTTCAATACTCAAAGGGAGCTTATAAGAAAGATGGAGACAGACTTTTTAGCAGGACGTTTTGCGATAGGACAAGGGGTGATGGTTTTAAACTAAAAGAGGGTAGATTCAGAGTAGATATAAGGAAGAAATTTTTTACAAAGAAGGTAGCAAAACACTGGAACAGGTTGCCAAGAGAGGTGGTAGATGCCCCATCCTTGGAATCGTTCAAGGACAGGCTGGATGGGGCTCTGAGCAATCATCTGATCTAGTTGTAGATGTCCCTGCCAATTGCAGGGGGGATGGACTAGATGACCTTTAAAGGTCCCTTCCATCCCAAAGCATTCTATGATAATTATTTATCTTAGGTATGTCACATAGTTCCACAGACTGATAAAACACAAACGTTCCTGAGCTGAATTTTCAGCTATTTGTCCTATCTCATCTAAGCATCTAAGTGTCAATATCCAAAATCTATGTCTGACACATAAAAATATTGGCTGCACAAATAAATTGAATTTACTAATAAAAGTGCCTGCAGGAATGGATTTGCATTCATTCAGCAGAATAAATCTAAACTATACAGGACAAAACTAAATTAAGCTCTCCAAGCATTTTAAGTCCTATATTACTCAATGTTCTTCTCCTGTTTGTTTTGAAGCTATATTATTTTAGTTATTTTAATCAGCTCATAAAAAAGCCCATGTCTATTAGCCACGTGCTTCGGCATGTAATCACTAACAAAACAATCAGATTTGTCTCCACTTTGCCAAAGGACTTGCCCCACAGGAAGATTGTGCTGCACCCCTCCTAGAAGCCAGCTAGCAAACTGTGCTGGAATTTTACCTGTGGGCACCTCAGCTAAAATCACACCATAGAAACCAAGAGCATCACTTAGTTTAACTGTATTGATAGACTCTGATTAATTGCACCTTAGGGGATGATGGAAAGCACTAGTGATAAATGACACAAAAAAAAAAACCCATAAGAACAACTTACATTCAAGTCATGAAGCAAGAAATCTTACATACCCACATCACCACAGCTGAATGAGCACTGAATAGACTCACCTGAATGGTTTGTGATTGTTTGGCTCTAAGGACAACCAGTTTAATTGCAGAGTTAAATCCTATTAATAACCTTCAGCTTGATGTGATAATGAGACCTTTTGTTGGGAAATGCATTGCAGATTCTTTGTAGTCAGAAAGACCATGTTTTATAACATAAAGTCCTCAAAGATTAATTTATCTTCATTACATACTTAGTTTATCTTCTGGAAATTCAAGTCTTTGGTAGCATGTCAGAAGGCTTTATCAACATCAGCTGGAGATTTAGGTGTTGGAGTGCATCTGAAGTCCAAGGATACTTTAGCTGCACCTGTATTTATGACCAATGCATCTATGTATTGATTATAAACCTGTTTCATTGTATCACTGGCTCTAAATATGTCAAGAGGTAAACTGAGTAGAGATTGTAGCTGAAAGCAATTCATGCACCTAGAACAGAACTTTCATTCTTTCTTTATATTTATATTCAAAAAGCAGCAATTTATTTCCTCTGAAGTAGTTTTTTTCTGCTCCTGTTGTAATGCACAGTAATTCTATTGAAACCTACTGAGGGCTGTCTGCTGGTATACGTATTGGTAACATAGTGAACCATTTGTTAAGGATAATATCCTTCTGTAAGTACACAGTTCTTTACTCCACAATAAGAATTAGTTGCAAATTAGTTTTCAAGTAAAATTCTAAAAGTTCATTTTGATCCATAGTTCTGGTATCCAGGGCCTGCATTACATCAGAGATCATAAAATGCAATTAAACTGCATCTCTGTGATGAGAGGTAGATTTTGGTCACTTGGTTCAGATATTCACAAGCCTCAGTGTGTGAGCCAAATGAGCCAACTTGTTATGTCTCCGTGTAAGTGCCTAACCAGTCTGTTTGCATAGACTGGAGGGGAAGCAAAAGCATGGTTTTGATGTGCCATTCATCATAATAGTGGACAAATGTTCACAATAAAGAACAACTTGTATTGCAAAAGGTCAGGAGATGTTCCTTTTGATACATGGAGACTTCAGAATTTAAAAGAAGGCGGCTTTGACTTTTTAAATTTGATGAAATACAAATAAATGGCAAAAATACTTATAAAACAAGGCCTTTTATTCTCATCCAGTATACGGAGACACTATTATCAGCAAAGTTACTTACATATGTACAGCTTCATGAGAAATCCTGATCTCCTGAGTTCAAGTTCTTCTGGATCTGGTGGTTTGTCTGGCAAACCCACTGCAGAGCTGCCAGTTACTTGACTACACCATCCATAGCTTCCCTTATCAGTCTGGCACCAACACGTCGCTGAGTGCTGCCAGAGTCCTGACATCAAGCCGTTCAAAACTTTTCAGAAACAAGTCTGCATAGCATCTTGAAGGTAAAGAGACAACAGAACAATGTTATATTGCCCTGTGCTTACGAAAGGACTTCCTCGTATTTCATACCTGACAGGTCTCCAGGAAGGCTTTACATTTTTGCTTGGTTCTGAAAACCTGAATTTTTCTCAATTTCTAGTTCCATTTATAGTCCAGTTTTTTACATTTGATCAAAACTACAGGGCACGTATATATACAGAGCACCAATAACTGTTGGAAATTTATAATTTGTAGAAGTTTCCTTTCATCAATCGTACAATATATCCCGTTATATCACTGCATACTCAGTATACTTGTGTAGGACAAAGAAGTTATCACAAAGAGGAAAAAAACCAACCATTTTTTGAGAAATGTTTTGTACAAGGAAAAGCCTGTTTTTAAATATTGTCTCTTTATATTTTAATAATCTATATTTTCAGGGAAGTGGCATCAAGGTGTTAACTGTGAATCCCGCAATGATCATTGTCATCACCCTTTAAACCACGGGTTTGACTATTTTTATGGGATGCCTTTTACACTAATAAGTGACTGCCAACCAACAGAAACACCAGAGATGGACAGAGTCTTTAGAAGCAAACTCTGGCTTTACACTGAGCTGATTAGCCTCGTTACGCTCACTGCTGCCCTAGGAAGACTGACCGGCTTGATTTCAGTCCACTGGAAAACGCTGGCCTGCCTTGCTGGGTTTAGTCTCTTGTTCTTTGTGTCCTGGTTCTCAAGTTACGGGTTTGTACGATACTGGAACTGCATTATGATGAGAAACCACGAAGTTACTGAGCAGCCAATGGTGACAGACAGGACTACGTCCCTTATCTTGAGAGAGTCCATTTCATTTATTGAAAGGTAAAGTGTGTTTCCTTTGACCACATTTTTTCTGCTCCTTGCATGTCTTGCAACTTTTAAACAGCATTTTCCCATGCGAAGTCTTTATAATATTATATAGGATCATAAGTACTATTATGCCTATTAATTATTAATAATATTAATAATGATATCACAGTATTAAACAAAAAAATTAGCTGCTGCTTAAGGATGTCTGTTATTCCTAGGTTCACTAAAGTTGATAACATTTCTACATGTTGGATTGAATATTTCTAGGCTATTCTGAGGAAATACATATTTCTATCAATGAGACTAACGTTGCAGCCTTAAGGGCTAGCAGCTGATGGCAGAAATGTGTGTGTGGGATGGGGAAGGGGAAGTAGAGCTGTGAGGTAGCCTTATCGTATGGACTGACGCGTGGGCAACAGCTGGCAGGAGATGAACCTGCTGCCTTCATCTCAGTAAGCGCTGTGGTGGTTTGCAATAGCAGGAAGTGGAGCTTCAATCTGAAACTTTTCCATGTATGATTCAGGGAATAAAGAGGGTCATTTTATATAGGCCAAACATTATTTTGTCAGTCAGATCCTAATCACTGGATTCTAATACCTTACGAAGTAAGATGTTTCTGAAGTGATTGTTGAAATATGTATACACACAAATCATACATTTTCCGTTACGACTGACCTCTGTATGTATTGAGCACCTTCCTTCCTAATATCAAAGTGTTGATTTCTGTTTTTTAGAAATAAGCACAAGCCATTCCTCCTCTTCCTTTCCTTTTTACACTCCCACACCCCTCTCCTCACCACACAGAAGTTTCTTGGGAGGAGCCGCCACGGTTTGTATGGAGACAATGTAGAGGAGATGGACTGGATGGTTGGTAAGTCATCACAGTAAATAACAATGTCTCCAACTACCTCATACCTAGGTCTGAATATACAATAAAAATGCAGTCATTTTTAAAAGAACAACAAAGAGAATCAAAAGCAAGAAGGAAAAAAGTCCTAAGCTTTTCATGAACATCTGTCAGTCTTGTATGAGCACTGTTGGCTTATAGTGTTGGCTTTTTATTTTCTCCAGGACTGGACCAAATACATCTTTCTGTTCACTCAGGTTTTTTTGTCTAGTGTTTACCAGTTTTAACCATGTCCCATTGGCTCCTGGCAAGGACCTCTCCTGCTTTTCTTACTAAATACTACATGAACTGAGAATTATTTAGTTTTCTCTGATTGTTGAAGATCAGGTAATTTCAGTCTCTTATGGTCATGCCTTATCCATTTCGAAGTAGGACACATCAGAAGGTGATAAAACTGATAAGCAAATTAATTCCAGGTGTAAACCAGCAGGTTATTTCTCTGTGACTGCTACACTCAGCAGAATACTGAATATTTTTCAGCCCATTCACAAATCCAGAAATGTTCATAAATGTTAATTGATATGGCCCAGAAATTAGATTCATGTTATTTTTCAGCCTGTTTTCTGGACAGGAAGGAGACTTATTTCTCACCCAGTCATGGCAGAGGAAATGTAGCCACATTTGCAAAAGCGATAAGAACCAGGTACACATTCAGAAAGAATTGGTTTTCAAACCTACTTGTCAAGCACTTACACACCACAAATATAATTAAGAACATCAGAAACAGCTCAAGAATGACTTGTAATTAAAAAAGCCCTATATTATTAATGCATATTATATCCAGCCAGTAATTTAATGCAAATACTAACTGTGGTCTAGACTATATAAGATAAGGATACACAACATTTTTTCCTCATTTCTCATGATGGCCACCATGTGTGTAGAATCTAACTTTTGGGGGGCCTTGGATCATGCTTTCTTTCCGTATTTTTACAGCACACGGGACTTCTGCCCATAACAATACAGGCTTCTTGTCTGTGACTGTGGTTCTTGCACGCCTTTGTGATAACACTAATAACAGAGGGGTTACAGCACATCACAAATTTTCTGTGCTTTTACAGATAGTGAAATCACAGCTACAAATCTCGACCCCAAAACCTCTTCTTTTAAACAATGAGCAGCCCTACATAGATAAGAAATTACATTGATGAATGTTTACAAGTCAGAGGCTAAAATTTATGTAGTGTAAGTGGTATTTTTGCTGTTTAATACACACATATTCCTGTGTCTATAGGCCAGGTTCTAGACGCTATTGATAAGGAAGGCTTGAAAAATACCACACTAATTTACTTTGCCTCTGATCATGGTGGATGGCTGGAAAGAAAAGAAGGCAAAAGGCAGCTGGGTGGCTGGAATGGAATATACAGAGGTAAGAGCTGTCAGGGAGGGTGACAACCCAGTAAAGTACTCAGAACATCCCTAAAGCTTAGATAAGACTGTACGCTCAAGGAGTAACAGTGTTTTTTCACTTAGAAGCAAATTTGTCTCATTCTAATCAGGCATTTAAAAATTTAGAGAATTCTATCATGCGCATGTGTTCTATATAAGCATGAACTCTCAAACTGGCATTTCCTCGTGAGGCAACTGATCACAAGTTAAATTTGATGAGGACTGTGTAACTTCTCATTAAATATTAGTTGCATCTTACATCTGAACCCTTGCTTTAACTACAACTGCTATGTTATAGGGTTGTAAAAGAAAGAGGAGAACTAGGCTGGGATATCACTTTATGCCTGAAAATTTTATCTACACTGAGTTTTGATGGGGCAATGTGTTTGTAAAACAACAGAAGGGAGTAAGTGTGTAAGGTCACTCGAGAGGTCTGATACAGTGAACACACTTTCACTGATGCTGAGGAGAAGGAGCTTAGTGGTATAACTAAAAGGGTAAGGAAGGCTCATAAAGGTAACATTAGACAGCTTATGATAATACAATAATATTTGTCTAAAATGTCTCTGTTTTAAATGAAACATTTATTTTAATGAAAATATATTATTTTTTTATGAAAGGTGGAAAAGCTATGGGAGGCTGGGAAGGAGGAATCCGAGTCCCGGGGATATTTAGATGGCCAGGAGTGTTACCTGCAGGCACAGTTATTGATGAACCTACAAGCCTTATGGACATTTATCCTACAGTAGTTCATCTGGCTGGAGGGGTGTTACCCCAGGACAGGTACAAACACAAGTGTCTTTATTCCTCCTTCTCTCCCAAGACAACGGAAAATTTGGTTTGGAAACACATTCTGAGTCTGACATTTTCTTTTTCACTCCTGCTCCTTTTCTAGACATATAAATGTTACCACAGCTCAGTCACCTCTTCTCTACATTTGAGATTCAGCATCTACCTGCAATCTTCCACAAGCATCTTCCTCATTCAGAGTTGCCAGTTCCAGCAAGAGGTGTGCAGAGGGAACGCAGTCCTGTACAGCTTACCCCAGTCTGATGGTCTCCGTTTTTTCTGCTAGGGTAATTGATGGCCGGGATCTGATGCCTTTACTGCGAGGAACAGTTGAGCACTCAGAGCACGAGTTCCTGTTTCATTACTGTGGCATTCACTTACATGCTGTGCGGTGGCACCAGAAGGACAGTGAGTACAGAACTTCTTTCCCAAGAATTAGGTTCAATTTACAGGAGGGAAGATTTGTCTCACACATTTTTTCCAGGTTTGCAGCTTTCCAAGTAGTTCCAGGTGTAAGGTGGCAAAGAAGTTACTAGTATTGCCTGTATTGTATGGCACAAAGAGTTTGTTTGTGGCTCCAAGGCACATGACATGCTAGACAGGCTACTAGAGCTCAGGATGGGTCTCACCCACCTCTCCATCTGAATGCAAGGCCTGGGGAGTCCATGCCCTGCTTGTCTCATGGAGAAGTCCTTGCCTCAGTCCTTTGTCCTTCTGTTACCTTAACAAGGAAGCAAGCCATGGAAACCCCAAATCTTTTTTTTCATGTCTTCATAAAAAAAAAAGTCAGGTATAACTGATACTTGCTGAAAATTTTGGAGAAATTTTCAAACATCAGAAATTATTTTACATTATTGGTTTAATTCTGTGGCACTTAATTTTAAATGAAATTACAATACTATATCAACTAATAAGTGTAGAGCTGAAATGCAACCAGAAACGAACTCTAGAAAAACATTCTCTCTTCTAATGCTTTGTGATAACCACCAGTGTCATTGCAAGCCTTCTTCCTTTCCTGCCAGGTGGAGCCATCTGGAAGGCTCATTATGTGACCCCTGTCTTCCGTCCACTCGGGGCTGGGGCTTGTTATGATAGAGGATTTTGCCCATGTTTTGGGGAAGGTGTGACCCATCATGCACCTCCGTCGCTCTTTTGACCGTCGCGAGACCCTTCAGAAGCCAAACCTCTGTCGGCTGACACCGAGCCCCTCTTTGACGCTGTAATAAGGCAGATGGGAAGAGCCATAGAAGAGCATCGCAGGACGCTGACTCCAGTCCCAGAACAGCTCTCCTTGTATAATGTCATGTGGAAGCCGTGGCTGCAGCCGTGCTGTGGGACGTTCCCATTCTGTTGGTGTGATAAGGAAGGTGATAATAAACTTGCCAACCTATAAAGGAAAGAACCCAAGTTACTTCCTCAAAAGTGTTTTTAGATCAGCAGTGTTTTCTTTGGGGGTGTTGATTGGTGGTTTGTTGGTTTGTTTGTTTGTTAGTTAGTTTGTTTGTTTTAATGGAGCCTTTATATGAGAATTGTTCCAGTGAATGGCACAGTATTTGGTAAAGGTGGCTTTAGGCTGGACCCTTTCAGGGAGCGAGCAAGACAGAACAGCCTGAAGAGCATGTTTTCACTTGCATCTGTTGACAACTGCATGAATAGTTCAAATGCACTGAAGCAGGCCAAGATCAGAGCTGTACAAGTAATGATGTAAAATATGTTTCGTTGTTTATGAATGTATACTTAGAAGCTTTGCTTTGGTTTTTTGTTCTGAATTTCTAAGTAATTCATGGACTGAGGTCTTCCTTAATTTTGATACCCTTACTGATGATGCATAAGGTGCCACTGATAAAAATTTTTGCAGACTACTGCCTCCAAAATAATTCCAAAACAATTTTGCCCACAGTTCCTCACAGAATCTCCTTTAAAACAGCTTCCTTCCTTCCTTGTAGCTAGTCCCTCCAGCAGCAGTGATGATGGCAGCTGATTAGCCTGGGGCTTCTGGATCAGGAGAAATTTCCCGGGTAAGGCATAAAGCTTGGAAACATGACAAGCTGGGTAACAGCTGTCTGTGCTTTCTGAGAAGGATGGGATTCCTCCGGTTGGAGTCAGCCTCTTTTGATGCAGAACACAAAAGGGAAAGGATTTTCCCTTTTCAAAGCTCCCATTGCACCCAGCTCCCTAAGCAGCACTGGCAAGGGCATAGTGGCATTGATGGTCACAGAAGCGCCACACTGCTAACCAGTTCAGTCATTTGGGCACAGGATTGCACGAGTTACCTTGCCGGCCATATCTCAGTCATAACTGGTTCCTGCTAATAAGTAGTATGTTCGGAAAAGACTGTTTGAAAGATGCCCAATACTAATTATGAAAATAAACAAACTCTAATTTACTATTAAAAAAAATATGCAGAATTAAGGTATTTTTTGCTTCACAAGTTAAATTTCTATCCCACCAAACAGCTAGATTTACTTAGATCTATCTCCTTTGCTGCTGTATATTCAGTTCTTTCATTCTTTGTGTTGAAATGGTTGTTCCTATTAAAGTGGCCCTGCAGGTAATGCTTTTCATTGTAGGGTACAATATATATCTGTTATATATTGTAGGGTACAATATATATCTGTTCACATAGACAAGTTTGCACTGGTATATCTGAATATGATCTGAATATGTAGGCATCTGAGAAGATAATTTGCCCATTCAATTATTTCACAGTTTTTGCTATTTTTCTAACTATTGTCCTAGCACCCATTTCAATTGTTCATCTCCTTTGATTAATGTTTGGCTTATTTTGGTTTTATTTTCCCCCTTGTTTCCCGCAATTCAGCCAGCAGGAAATCTGCAGGTAAACAAAGCCCTACAGCTTAAAAGCAAAGTTTTATTGTGTGCTAGGACTTCATGCATGTCACAGATGATTGTTATAATTCACCCAGATGCTCCATCAGTGCTATTGATGAGAAAGGCACTCAGTCTTACTGTGATAATTTCAAGAGATGAAGTGAATCCATCACTTCACATTGTCCTGGTTTCAGCTGGGATAGAGTTAATTTTCTTCTTAGTAGCTGGTATAGTGTTGTGTTTTGGATTTAGTATGAGAATAATGTTGATAACACACTGATGGTTTAGTTGTTGCTAAGCAGTGCTCACACCAGTAAAGGACTTTTCAGCTTCCCATGCTCTGCCAGGTGCACAAGAAGCTGGGAGGGGGCACAGCCAGGGGGGCTGACCCTCAGGGGGTGGTGAGCAATTGTGTCGTGTATCACTTGCTTTGTATATTATTATTGTATTATATTATTATTATTACTACTACTACTACCATTCTATTTCATTTTACTTCAATTATTAAACTGTTCTTATCTCAACCCATGAGTTTTCTGACTTTCACCCTTCCAATTCTCTCCCCTACCCACTGGGGGCAGGGAGTGAGTGAGCGGCTGTGTAGTGCATAGTTGCTGGCTGGGGTTAAACCACAACACACATGTACTGGATTGTTGCCTAATTGCCTCCATTGTTAAGAGTGTGTGCTTTATTTCTCATTTGAATGTATTCTATTTCACTGGTTCTTTCTTGGCTAGATTTAAAGGTCTTTTCATATTCCATGTGCAGTGTTTTCTTTACATGAAATTACTGTAATCAGACTGGCATTTTTCAATTTTCTCAGTCATTTTCCAAGATCTCACTTCAATTCTTAAGCCAGTTTAGTATCTGGGATTTTACGTCCTCTCAATTTTTCAACACCTTTAAAAATATGTGGATATAATACCTGTTCACATGATTGAACCAATTTTTCTTGCACAGAAATACTTCATAGTACTGTAGGATATTCATTTGGAGCTAGAGGGCACAGGAAGACATCTGAGCTAGAATTTGTCCCGGATACTGGCATTCACCCATGAAAGCACAGTTATCAGGCCCTGCTGATATGCAAAGTGCCATGGGACCAGCAAACGTTCGGGGCTTGGTAGCACAGACATTATGCATGGAACAGTCATGAGCAATAATAAAGACTGCCTTGACAAAACCATACTGTCTTTCTTTTTCTTTTGGGTAGTCAGCAGATGATGGTATTCTGCTTTCTTCTGCAGCTGAAGCAGAAAAACAACCTTTTTTCATTAGTTTAATTTCCTTTTTCTTTGGGAATTCTAACCTTACATTTGTCTATGTTAAGTGACAGGAGCAGAGCTGCCTCCTCCAGCCGCCCTGGCCCAGGACCCTCCTGCCTGGCTGCTGGAGCCCAGCCTGGTGCCTGGGGACCCGGGGTCTCTGCCCAGGCTGGGGGACATGGCTGCTGCCTTCCCCTTTGCAGCTTCAGCCCATGGTGAAGCTGAGTGTGTACCCCAGAGACACACACAGAGGACACTCACACGGCCAGTCATTGTCTCCATGTCTTGTGTTGACATGTATTGTGTACTCTGATGAATGTGGCACAGGCTTAGAAGCAGTTTTGGGAGACACAAAATAGCATTTTTTAGATAAAAACAAAGTAGTGCATCAAAGTAGTCTCCTTGACAGTAAATGTAATGAACATCCATAAATATTTGCCACTGTTAGTCCTTCAGGCTGTTTTCCAGTTGAATAAGAAGTGCATGATTAAGGCAGGTATTTCTTTAGGGTAGTCTTATTCACTTACAAAGAATGTATCATATCCTGTACATTCCATAAATACCATGGGAACCGGTTTCTCTTTGCTGTTCTTAACCTCTTCTTGTCGTCAATTTGTTTGAAAGTATTTTTTTCAGAGTAATTTTTCACCTTCAGGCTATTTCCCATTTTCCACGTATTGTATTGCCATTGTGGCAGTGAGAGTTGCAGTTTCTCACAGCTGGCTACCAGCTTTTCCCCATGTTGAGAAAGCATCCAGATAAATTTTGCAAACTGAGAGATCTAACAGTTAATATTTACTAACATATTGCAACCTGTGCTTTGAGCTTATTCTTTTTTTTGCCATTCCATATAATTTTCAGCTTTTTGGAAGATTATTTAAATCAGTGAAAATTGCCTATTTCAGGAGATTTGAGACTAGGATTTTTACACATTGTTAATTTATTTATTGTTACCACACCTAACAGGAAGTTGCAAAACAGAACAACGCTATTTCTCTTTGCTTCACAGGATCCTGAGAATGAAACTCATAAAGTACATAGCAAATTAAAAGTTGCAGATAAGAAAAAAGTCCCCTAGGAAAAAAATAATATTCTATCATATTTGGAAGTAGACTGCTATTAGAATCATAGAATCATAGAATCGTTAAGGTTGGAAAAGACCTTTAAGATCATCGAGTCCAACCGTTAACCTCTCACTGCCAACTCCACCACTAAACCATGTCCTCAAGCACCACGTCTACCCATCTTTTAAATACGTCCAGGGATGGAGACTCAACCACTTCCCTGGGCAGCCTCTTCCAATGCCTGACTACCTTTTCAGTGAAGAAGTTTTTTCTAATATCCAACCTAAACCTCCCCTGGCGCAGCTTGAGGCCGTTTCCTCTTGTCC